AAACAAGTCATTGTTGTTGACCCCAAATCCCCCAAGACTGAAAATTCTCAATTAAGTGGGACCAAGCACCCAATTGACGGTCGGAACAAAAGAAAATTGAACAATCATACAAGCAGATTGACAAGGTTCTTGACAAAAAAGAGTTTCCAATTTTCCATTCCAAAATCCCCATCTTCTCTGTTTCAAATTATATATTCACTCGAAAAAATTACCCAACCAAGGCAGCCAAAAAACTAGAAACCAAAAATCATGAAAACCGCCAAACTCTTCCTCTTCTCCTTCTTCTCCTTCATCATCTATTCAAATGCTCAAACAGCTCCAAACACCACAGGCTACAACTGCACCATCAACCAGACCACAAGCCCATGCGAAACCTATGTCTTCTACCGAGCCTCGGCTCCGAATTTTCTTGATCTTGCCTCCATAGGCGACCTCTTCTCAGTCAGCAGGCTCATGATATCAGAACCTAGCAACATATCATCACCGTCTTCAACTCTAGTCCCTAATCAAGCTCTCTTTGTCCCCATAACATGTTCTTGCAATTCAGTCCCTAACGACACCAGAACCATCTCATACGCCAACATTTCCTACACCATCAAAGAAGGTGACACTTTCTACTTGGTCTCAACAAACAACTTCCGAAACCTCACTACTTACCAATCAGTTGAGATAGTTAATCCAACTCTCGTCCCTACAAACCTCTCCATCGGTGTTGAAGCCATTTTCCCCATCTTCTGCAAGTGCCCCAACAGGACATCCCGGTTGGAGAATGGCCAGAAAGTCAACCATCTCGTCTCCTATGTTTTCCAACTGTCTGATAATTTGTCAACGGTGGCTTCAACTTTTGGGGTCCAAACCAAGGCCATAACTGACTACAATGGAGAAAACATCAACCCTTTTGACACCATTTTCATCCCGGTTAGCCAGCTCCCGGAGCTGACACAACCCGCGACCGCCCCCACCCCGCCGCCTTCCGAAAACGACGACAATGATGGCGCCGTTATAGGATTGGCAGTTGGGCTTGGAATTACTGCGGTTTTGCTGGTTTTGGTTGGTGGGGTTTTGTTATATAGAGAGAGGTTAATGAGAAAGAGGAGAGCTTTGTGGGGTGATGTGGAGAAAGAGAAGGGTCAATTTGGTATGAAAGGGAAGAGTAATAGTTATAATAATAAAGTAGCAAAGGAAATGGAAGAGACTTTAATGGCTGATGTTTCTGGGTGTTTGGACAAGTACAGAGTTTTTGGGGTTGATGAGCTTGAAGAA